AAGATTCATTTATTCATTTAAACTTACAACCACATAAAAATACCTATATCAGTTTTTTATATACAAGATATATATGTATATTATTTTTCCTTTTTAGTTTTGCACAAGTGTAGCTGTTTATTATACATTTCACATTTGATAAACATAAATATTTTCAAAAGTGCTACAAACAAAATATTTTTGAATACTTAAAAATCAATACTTTTGTCAATTTCAACTTTTTTTTAAATTTAAATAAGTTTCTTTTACATATATTTGTAAGCAAGAAGTAGTTAAATCGAAAAGCATGACATCAAAATAGTTATCTAAAATTACGTTGTCGATCAAAGAATAAGGATTTCCTTTTACATTTTTTTTTATAGGATACAAATTTTCTCTACGTATTTTTTACTTGTACCTTAATCATTTTTTCAATGAACGTTCCACTGCAGGGAGTGATAATTTTTTACCATTATCAGAAGCAGTGGCAGTAACAGCAGCATGGCCTTCACAAACAGCAGCAGTGATAACAGCAGCACCACCACCAATAAAAGCAGTAGTGATAGCAGCATGGCAACCACCAACAGCAGCAGTGATAGCAGCAGCCCTACTACCAATATTAGCAGCAGCAATAGCAGCAGCACTATCACTAATAGCAGCAGCAGCGATAGTAGCAGGGCTTTCACCAACAGCAGCAGCGATCGCAGCAGTGCTACCACCACAGCAGAAGCAGTGCCATCAGTAAAAGCAGTGACAGCAGCAGCGCCTTCATCAATAGTAGCAGCAGCGATAGTGGCAGGGCCATCACCAACAGTTGCAGTGGTTATAGCAGTGCTACCACCAACATCAGTAGCTGTGCCTTTAGCAGCAGTGGCAGTGATTGCAGCAGCGCTACTACCAATAGTAGCAGCAATAGCAGCATCACCATCCGCAATAGTAGCAGAAGCAGTGCTACCACCAACACTAGCAGCAAACAGCAGCAGCACCACCAGCGACGCCAAAATCGGTCTAGCCTACCTACTAGAGTGATAAAAGATCTAGAAGCAGCGGGAATCGTCCTCGGTTTTGTAAAATTTTATTGTTTTGTGTTTGGTCGTAAGGTGAACTTGTGAAGGATTAGACTATAAAATCAAATGGATTGGATCGAGCCAAAATGGTAATTACAATTCTTTGTTACGGTTGCCCATAAAAGATGAAATTGATATCTCTGAGGAGGAAAAATCACGGTTACATCTGTTACAACCAAAGTTAAGATAATAGATTATGAGATATTTGTACAAGAAACGAAACGAGATGCAGTTTTGTCGTACATAATTAAATCTTATATTCTTAGATGGCTAAAACACAGCAAAGATCTATTCAAGGAAGGAAGAAAGTTTTTTAATAAGCAAAATTAATTATAAGTGGAAAAATGATATTTATTTTAGAGATACAGAGTAGTTATTCTTAAGAGCTTGAAAAATAAAGTACCGGATAATCTTTACTTGTCATATCTAAGCGTAGTAAAAATAAAATCGTTCACGCTCTCGTACATGTTATCACCACGAATAGATGTAGACATTAAAGAAATATCAACCCAATAAAAGATGTGCGTTAATAATAGAATCTAGAGATTGTAAATTATAAGCAAAATACTAGAGAATGTAAGTTGGGACAACTATTTAAAACTTTATTTTCAAGACACGGGCTATGCTAGCAGGTAGTCTCAGATAATGGGTGGCAACTTACTAGTTTTAAATTTTGAGAATCTGAGATGGACCTAAAGAAAACACAATTTTTGACGCCGTACCACCCAGAAACCAATAGAACCGTTAAAAATTTTGTCAATACGTTTAAGGTCTAAGTTTCCAAAGTTTGAAAATTTATTTTTGGTTACCACAATGCTTAACACAGCACAACAAGCAAGTCATCAGGGCAGTTATTGTACGGACTGGAGATTCGAATACAATTTAATACATTGCGACCAAATTTACACTCCACGATGATTGATAAACAAAGTGCACAAATCACGGCAAAGCCAGTAGTAGTTTCAAAATGGCAAAAAAGGGACCTCCTTCCACTCTGACACTATGAGAGAGTGGTTGGGAATGTTTTTTTGGTCGTAACTGAGCGACCGTGGCTGAGTGTCGTCTGCTAATACAATGGCTCTCACATTCTTGATTATTAGCCATGTACACACACATAAACATGTGTACAACTACATCAGCTAATCACAATGCCCGGATGCTGCATTTCCACCAAGCTCTTGCCCCAAATGTAGATGTAAATACGATTGTGTTTTTAAACCTGTTTCTTTTTAAGATAGTAACCCGATTTTATAATTGCTGCTCCAGCTTCATGACTCAATTTCATTTGGCTCCTGCTGTGGCAGCATATTTTCCTGGAAAAGTAGGATGGATTGTGTTTGTGTAGTTTCATGCTGAATGATGCATATCATTTGAAAAGTTAAAAAGTGATAGGCTCTTTCACTTATGCAAAGTGTCACTTATTAAATCTACATGATTCATAAGTACTTAATAAATTCTTTTAAGTATATTTCTTCTAGGCATAATTACTCCCACTGTGTGAGACTCTTTGGACTTGGGATACTACAATGATGTAGATAATAATTATTAAAATTCACATGTCACTTTATACAGAATATAAGATGCGCTTATGATACTCAGCTGTACTGTCGTTCTATAAAAGCTTACTGTCTCATTTTAACTGTCTTAAGAGTACACTCTGGTTAACAGCTCGTGTTCAACTGATCAAGTTGATCCGCAGCATTTGTGATGCACTTGCAGATTACATATGCATTTATAGGTGGCGCTCAATGTAAACTCTTCTCTCAAAATGTCTAAAGTTAATTTTATTTATTTCCATTATTTAGACTTAGATTGCAGTGCAAGTAAAGACAAGTTCCTCATTTTTCATATCACAATGATGAATTACAGTGATCACCAGTGTGTGAACAAGTTCTTGTTTTAAGTACGTAGCCATACATATTTACGCAAAGCCGGTGGTAAGGATTAAAGTGCAACTAAATGACTGATTTGAAAGTGATTATCACCTGCACTTGATCAGTGTGTCATAATTACATTTTGCAGGATTATTAGGTACTTTAAAAACTCTTTCATATATTTTTAAGTTAATATCCTCTGTTTAAAATATTTTTACTTCAGTGACATTGCAAGTACAAATTTCAAGTGTTAAATTTGTTGCAAAGAAAAAGCATAAAAGAGGACAAAGATAATCAAATTAAGAATTGTTATTAAGCATAAAATAACATCATTTATGGAAGTATTAATGAATTTCACAACAAACAGCCTACTTCAAGGGTTTAGAATTTCCTCAGCAGTAATTTTAAATCTAGGAATGATCACATCAGCTACTTCTACTTCAAAAGAAAATTTTTCTATATTATTAAGTGGTAATTTACAATATGACCTCACAAAATATACATATTTTGAGCCAAAGTTATGTGTCAGTGGAAGTATAGATAAAAAGTATTATATGATTTCAACAGAACTATGGAAAGTACACAGTACAAAAGCTCACTGGGACCGTGGAGAGGAAGGCGGTAGGTGAAGGCACAAACGAACGCAGCAGTCATTTGGGACGCACTCTTTTAAATGCAATACAAGCTCTCCTTGTTGTTTTATATAACTTTGGATTAACTTTAATTACGTAACTCTGAATTTTCGTTACACAGATAAAACAGTAATAAAAGCCAGTCACTCGAATACAATAGATAGCCTTTCCAATATTAACACTTAAAATGGTGCGAGCGCTGAGGGTAAATACTTTACCAGCCTGAAAGGTGGAAACGCTCGAAGAGCAAGTTAGTGGCTTATCTCTGACTCAGCACATTTGATATATATGTATGTGGTAGGTGCACATGACATGTTATTGCAATTCATTCAGGCAGATGTGGCTTCGGGAGATTACTCGCTCATGACATTGGATGGAATTCCCAAACAAAGTACATAAAGTTATTTCTATAATAATTATTACACTTAAATCAATCAATTCTGGGGTAAAATGAAGTGGCACGTCGCAGTAAATTATATTAAAATGGAATTTAATTATACTTTTATTTTTTATTCCTACAAGCACGTGATTTAAAATTTATTATAAGTAGTATGACGTTAGATGTTAACAAATTTTCTGTGTATTATGGCAATTGTCCAATGATTCACAGTCCCAAGCTTCCTGTCCATATCGAAAAACTTTTTTCTAAAGGATGCAATACTGGAAACTAAGTAGAGAAATATAAAAGGCAATGATCACCATGGATCTTAAAATTATGCTCGTATCGTAAAAAATGTCAGTTAAACACAGTCTTTTATGACAGAACATGGTAAGATTGTCTTAGTTAAAGATTATAGTTCATTTTAAATGTGTCAGATTGAAAAAAACCAGTGGACAGTGGGTGCTTGGGTACCCAAGTAAGGAGTTATACTTCTATAAAATTATATGGCAAATAACATAATCATGAATATAAATATGGCAGCTGGCCAGTACAAGACTGTTGTCTTCATCGAATCTTCCGATGGTTTCAAAAAAAGTTCTTGAGAAAATAAGAAATACCCTTACAAAATAGCCGATCGTTCAACTGTACCCTTTTTCACATGTTTAATTGAAAGAATTTCTAATTTAACATGTAACCTTGTAGAAAAATTACTTTAAATCAGATTTATAAGATCTATATAAAGTTGTCATTTTTTTTTTTTCTATGAAAGATTACTATCAAATGAAGCTGTTCCATTTTGAAATATATCTATAATTTTTTTTCTCTTTTTTTTTTTTTTTATTAACACAAAAAAAGGGACCAAGTATATGTAAAAGCGTGTATATAAGTTCATCCTTAAAAACAAAATAATTTCCAGCTTTGCAGCATATATTTTTACTCCTCCTATCTCTCTGAACTTATTTCTCAATGACAAAGGAAAAATTGTCAAAGAAGAAAACGCAATAAAAGTCAATTATTGTATTTATGCAGTATGGAAGTGATTTTTTTATTCATTTATAAAAGTTCTAAAAAAACTGTATAGACAATAATTTATTTATTATAAAAGTAACAAATTATTGATAAATAAATGAATGTTCCAAATTTTTGAAAAAAACATAAACAAAAAAATACATTTTAAGAAATAACTTGTTTATTTAAAGTAAAATCGAACTAAATGAATGAATTCATAATAAATGAAAATTTACATTGAAAATAAGTTACAAACTGTAAGACAAGATGAAGTAATTAATTTTCTTATGTCAGGCCTGCTCATAGAGTGGGTAAAGGCTTTTTCTAGCGTGCAAGAGAACGAAGGTTGAAATCTCTTTGAAAACTGTTTTTTTTTTGTTTTTTTTTTTGTTTTTTTGTTTTTTAGAAATTGGTTATAAGAAAAAGAAAAAAATTAAAAATGAGTACTGTAAAGAGTGCGGTTCTCTGATGTTGTGTTGTGTGGTGTAAAGGAGACCGACAGTACGTCATGAGGGGTGGGGCGAAGGGGAAGAACCAAGCCAAATCCACTTTCGTTACACTTTTTCTCAAGGTCACCAATCTAAAATCGTTGATTTACTTTGTAGGGCAGAACGCGCCTATAGAAGTATAACTTAAAAAACGTTTTTATAAATATCTTAGTAAAAAACGAGAATGCTTATCAAAGAAATCACGACTTGCCAGGCATTTTTCAAAAATATAACCAATCACAGTCGTACTGACTCAAGTTTGTAGAGTGCAAGAGGAGATGCGTGGTAAAGGGGGTACATCTGTACTGGTTGGGGGGACTCCTCGTTCCTTGCCTCTCTGAATCATACTTTCAAACCTCCTTAACTATGACAATGGCCACATCTACAAGTTTTAAATTAAAACACATGATGAAGATAATTTTGATAAGTTACATCGAGTTTCACCTGATTTGTGTTAATGCAAGTGTACCCATACATTCTCACTTGATACCTACACAGTAAAGATAAAATTTATTGATCCTAAAGCATAGATTATTGCAGGTATTAATCAAGTCTTCAAAATTACCAAGGCATATTTC